ACGCTTACCCCGAACGTTTCCAGCGACGCACTGAAACCCTCGACTGTCTCCGACGACGTGATGGAGACCGGACCCCTGAACACGCTCTCCGGCGACTAGTTCACTCCCAAACTGAACTCCTCAAACCCTCTGGTGGTCACGCTCTCGGCTTCCATCACAGATCCACAATCTTCCGCCTCCAATTCGACCTTCTTCACTCCAATTCGCCTTTCCTCTTTTCCGGAACAAGGCAAAGGAAGCGGCGATGGAGAATTCGGAAGTAGGAGACGGAAGTTTGGGCAGGGGAACCATGGAGGTGCAGCGGGGAATCGAACTGATGAGATAAGGGGAGGAGAAGGAACCGAGCGGCGGAGGAGTAGGAGCAGGGGGAGAGATAAAAGTTGGGTGTGTGATTGTTTCGGCGACCTATTCAAGCACCATGCAGATCTGGTTGTCGAAGGGAATGCAAGAAAAATGAAGAACTAGAGTTCAGATCTGGAAAGGAAAAAGCAAAAACCCTTATTTTGTTTGAGTGGTCGATTCATGGGTAGGTGGACCGCCTGTTTGGTTCAAGGGTTGGGTTGGGTTGGGTTGGGATGGGATGGAATGGACAAAATGACTTAGTGGGTCAGATTTCAAAATTTTTGTGTTAAATTAAACCGACTAGGCGATTTTGTCTGCCATGTCAGCACATAACGGTCTTGTTTAACGAGAGTGACCAAACTTTCAAGGGTTTTACTAATTTTAGTGACCAAAAATGGTTTTGAATATTTCGAGTGATCAAACATTAACATTTTTGTAATCACAGTGACCAACCATGCAATTAATCCATTTAAAATATATCTTTTTATTTTTTTCATTCACAATATATAAATTATTTTTGCAATATGACGGCAATCTCAATTTTTAACTGAAATTGTAAAAATATTAGAATTGTTATATCCCAACTTTTAACTTATATAACATACATACTCATACAAACAAAACATTATAATTTACAATATATCAAATTCATACATACATATATTCACCACAATACTACATCTTTCAAACCATACGCTCAATCCTCCATTTCCATTTTTCTCTATACCGTCCCCACAAATCACAATCCCAAAGCTCCACTACTTCCAATTATTCATTACAAAAGTCTTTGGCAAAAAAAAAATATTCATTACAAAAGCAGGAACAAACAAACCAGTTGTCCCAATAGTCTTGTAATAAACCGAGCCCACCATGTTATATATAGAAATACAAATTTAATTTCCAACAATAACTTCCCACTAAACTTGTAAATGAAGAGCCTAATATTTGTGGTATGGAGTTGGGATCAGTTTGAGGCTATTTTTCCTCTTCATCACCCCTCCATATGCCTCCGTCATGTCCAGTTCCTCTGCTTTAACTCCATTCGGTGGCTTCAAGTCAAAATGGTACAAAAGCTTGGCTAATGTGATTTCAATAGTGGCCGTCGCAAAATCTATCCCCGGACATATCCTCCGTCCAGCACCGAATGGAAGGAACTCGAAATTCAACCCTTTAAAATCAACTGAATTATCGACAAACCTTTCGGGACGAAATTCTTCCGGATCCTCCCAAAACTTTGGATCTCTTCCTATAGCCCAAGAGTTCACAAGTACGGTCGTTTTCGCCTTGATTTCAAACCCATCGATCACGCAGTCCTCGTTACACATTCGAACCAAGAAAGGACCGGGAGGATGTAGTCTTAGCGTCTCCTTAATCACCAACTTTAAGTAATGCAGTTCACCAAGTAATGCAATGTCGACGTCTCCCTTCAATCTGAAAACTTCTCGTACTTCTGTTTGTGCTTTCTGTAGAATTCTTGGATTTTTCACCATCTCTGACATTGCCCACTCCAGAGCAGTTGCTGCCGTATCGCTCCCCGCACCAAATATGTCCTGAAATTTGTGATTGGATTTCAACATAAAAAAAAACAGGGGAATGAAAAAGCAGGGGAAGGAGGTCGAACTCGATTTTACCAGAATGACTGCTTTGATGTTGTCATCTGAGAGGGGGATGTCGAATTCGCCATTACCCTGAACCTTCAAAAGAACATCGACCAAATCATCCACCGCCGCCTCCTCCCGGCGGGAATTGTTGCGGTGGTCGGAGATTATGCCGTCCAGCATCCGATCAGCTTCATTTCTGAGCCTGAGGATCTGCGACCTCGTCCCACCCAATACGTGAAGCAATTTCAGAGAAGGAAAGAAGTCGGCCACGCTAAACCCGCCGCCCAGCCGACCCAATTCATCAATCACCAGAAGAAACTCGTCGTGCCCTTTGTATTTCCTCCCGAAAGCCGCCCTCGACACGATCCCGCTGGTGAGGGAGAAGAGCATGCGGCTGAAGTTGAATTCCCGCCCGGCCGAAGCAGAGACGGCGGCCACAGCGTTGGACACCTCTTCTATACGGGTCGAGTCGAACGATTTGACCCGGTTCTGGTTCAGCAGCTCCAGGGCGCAAATCTTGCGGAGCTGCCGCCAGTAAGGGCCGTGGGGGGCGAAAATGATGTCGGTGAAGTCGTAGGTTAAGATCTGGGCGGCAATGTTGAAAGGGCGATCGGAGAATACGACGTCGTGGGTTTTCATCATTTCTTTTGCGGGTTCAGCGGAGGAGATGACCACGTTTGGGACTTGCCCCAGCTGGAGACTCATAACGCCGCCGTATTGGGTTGCGAGGTCGCGGAGAAGGTGGGGCGGGAGCTGGGAGCTGCCGACGAGCTGATGGAGGTTTCCGATGATGGGGAGTTTTCTGGGACCTGGAGGCGGTGGTGGAGCTGCGGCGGAGGGGTTTTGATTTCTCTGCCGGAAGATTTTGTGGAGGAAGAATATGAGCAAGACTGAACTGGTGAAAATCAGTGTGAGTGGGGAAGTGTCCATTGCGACGTTGGGATGGATAGGATTTGCATAATGCAGCCCTTTTATACGGAGTTAGAAGTGAGAACAGCTAACTCTTTTAACAGCCATTAAATTAAGATAGTGATGCTAATATATACACTCCCTAGCACTAAGGGTATGGAACTATACGGTAAGTCGGATCAAATTCAGAAAAATCGCGGTCTAATAATAAAAGACTTCAATGGATTAAGGATCGGTTCTAATATGTCTTTTATTAAATGATTGTGATTCTCATGAGGATCGGTTCTAATATGTCAAAGTAAATCGCATTTTATTAAAATTCAAACAACATTTGTGAAATTTGATACCTTTCACCTCGGTTTATTTGTTTGAAATTTTAATTAGTTATAAAATATTTTTATGATGTAGAATAATTATATAGTTTATGTTGGGTTAGGTTTTTACTTAAACATATCGTCAACCCGACCCAACCCAATTAGAAACAAACCGTAGGGTTTAAATTTTTTTGTGTGGGTTTGGGTTTGATATTTCCTAAACCGTAGTGCATGGGTTGGGTGAATAAAATGACTAAAGCCGAACAACCCGACCCATGTACACCCTACATGTATGCTCACATTACTTAAGTGCAAAGAATTACAATAAATTGCTAGAATGAAGAAATTTATTAAAAACTACACAACTCCATGAAAATATTGTATATGTATAAGTATACTAAATATCAAATATACAGAGAGGAATAATGATCATTTCTAGAAGAAAAAATATATATTTTTATAATCAGGCGGATTCGAGTTGAATAGTAAGAAAACCATGCCCACCTATTACCTGCAATATTCATATTCAGGTTTTATACATCACCACTAAAATTCTTCGAGTTGATATGCTTTACCGGATTAGGTCGGATTCGGGTGGAAATCCACAGGTGCAAATATTTTTTTTCATTCTGATATGTCGTGTAGTGTAGACCAAATTTACCTTGCCCTAAGGCCGGGATCGTATTTCCTTAGGGCCTCTCGCAGAACCCTTACTTTGAGGGCGAGGTACGGTACCATATGAGTTGAAAACAATGTTGGAGGTTGAGGTGCGTCCGGTTTTGGCAAAACAAAAGTAAGAGCTAAACTACGGGTGCAGAAAAATAAATCTAAACTAATTGGATGGACGAGAGACCAGAGAAGGAAGGCGTTGCATAGGCAAGCTCCCCCTAGGTCTCCTAGTCACGTATCCCTCGATATTCGACAACACACGAGCTTCCAATTTCGTATTTCGTTAGATCTCACCTTATGTCGAAGCATTTACCGAAGTAATGGGTGATAAGAACCTTGCGGATTTCTCCCTTAAGGCATCACGTCGTTTGATCGAATGAGGATCGATCGAGTAGGACTATCATTTCTATTCTTAATCCTACACGACTTGGATTTTGATCCTACCACCTCGAATGAGTGCAACGTCGACTAAGCATTCATTCGAATCGACAAATGACAACATAGAGGAAATCAAGCATCAATACATATGAAATAAAACAATTGTATTAAAGTCAAACATCGAGTTTTACATAACTAGGACCCCTAGGGTTCACATGCCTACGCAACTAAAGGAACTAGCCAGCCATTGATAGAAAAACTCATAGCTCCTGCATCATCAAGCCAATCAGAAGTCTTCAAACACGTGACCAGCGAAGGAAGCTCCAAGGTAACTTTCTGACGAAGTAAAGCAACTCTGTAAAGCAGCAATGGCCCTGTTTTCCATTCCAGGACGCTGATTTATACGTTGTTTCTTTAAGCTCTTCTTTTCTTTGAATCCCGGCTCCAGCAACTGGATCTCAATGTCCCCTTCGACTACAAAGTTGTCCACTAGTCTACTGTGGCCTCAAAATACACAAAGCGCTACCAAAAGCTTCTGTATACGAGCAGTGGAGAATTACCTTTAACCAACTGATATTCACTTAAACAACTTCATGAGTTTAGTGGTTTAAAAACCTCAATTCAACCCTAGTCCTTTCTACTTATAGCCACGACTCCTTTTTGTTTTGTGTTTGTTGTGACAACTTGACAATTTGATCTGATTCAAGTGTTAACAAATCACTGCTGTCGCGAGCAGTGGAGAATGCCACTCATACTTCAGTTGAAATGTTTGAACATAGTAGTCATCTGATTCCATATGCAGTAAAGAGGAATTAGAATGATATGAACAGACTTGCCTAGTTGACGTTTACACGACCACTGTGCTTTGACGTTGCTTATGGAATCCCAAGGGGAGCAATGCCAGTAGCTTCATATGAAGCATTCAGCGAGTGGGATAATCTAGAATGCTTAGGATTTTGCATTAGAAGAGACTCAAGAACCATTCACCACAAATTACAACCTAAATGAAAAACAAAACAAAAGCGGCATCTATCACATTATGCACAGACAGAGACAGGCAACTTCAGGAAATTAGTACTGGTTGAGGTGAGCTCTAGAGGGAAATTGAGACTGAACAGTTAAAAGGGATTTGGTGCACTAAGACATCCAGTAAAGATGATACAAGAAAATGGCCAAACCCAACAAACCTTCTTGCTGTCTAATACGAGTTATAGCTCTTTCCTCCAACTAAACTAACACGCACTTCTACGCTTGCTGGTGCTTAGGGAATGGCATCGATTTAGGCACCATTCATTGCAGAGGGAGTCTTAGCAGCATCCTCGTATGCAGAGTCATGCACGCCAGTGGCTGCACGGCCAGATGGGTCGAGATTCTTGGACCAAGCTGCATCCCATTCTACTGCTTTTGCTGTGCTGCAAGCCACACTTGGACCTCCAGGTACTGTTGCCCTCGCAGCATTCTGCTCACAACCATGGTTTGTCACAATCGAGATAGTAAGATTATATGGCAACCAATTTTATTGTAAGATCTAGAATAAGAAAACCGTAAGATATGAAATGCGAGATCAGGATTTTACATTTTGTCAAACCAACATTCACTAACACTTTCCACACAACAGAATGAATGACAAGAATTTCAGAGAGCAAATAGTAATGGAAGTAGCAGGATGTGTACCTTTGGAAAGAACTTCTCGAATATAGTCCTGTAGTAGTATGCTTCTTTCGTAGTAGGAGTGTTTTCCGGATAGATGAAGCTTGCATTCACCAACATTGCATCTGTAACCTGCTCAATTACAACACCAAAATTACTGCCGTGTTGGTCAACAAAATCAAGGAAATTAAGAAATCCAGAGAATGTTTTATATTATCATAAAATGAAGAAACAGTTCATCATGATTACTCTAGTTACTGGTATACATACTTGATTGTTTGCATGATCCTTTAAGCCATCAATCCAGCTATAACCAACTCCATCGCTGAATTGTTCTTTCTGCCTGTACAGTATGTGCTAAAACCAAAGACCAATCAACAGAGATTTAAAAAGGCAACAATGGCTGGACAAGTGCACCAACAAACAAATGTTTTTGTCAGACTGCTGCAAATACAAACCTTTGGCAGGTAAGGGTTCTTCTCATCATCAAACGCATTACGCAATATCCACTTCTCAATCCTTCCAAGGTCAGGTCGGATCTGCAATACATTAACAAAAGTAAGAAACTAAGAAATACCTTAATGTCAGACTTCAGGCATGTTAATATAAAACATGCGAGAACTTTGGAAGTGTTAAGGAAAAGGACTCCCTAAGGGGAAAGCTTTACTAAAGGCCTGATGTTCGTATAGTTAAAATTATAGATGATATAGGCTCCACCGAAATGGCAAAAGTATGTGATTAAATGGAAAATTGTGGATGTTATTTAGATATAGGATCAAGGGTCAACAGCATATGACCATACCATCTTCCATTCTGGATCTATGTTCATTGCAACATTTATGAACTCTTTATCCAAGAAGGGTACACGAGCTTCAAGACCCCATGCTGAAGTTGACTTATTGGCCCTCAAGCAGTCATAAAGATGCAGAGCTTTAATCTGTGTATGACAATTTAAAAGATATTATTAACGAAAGAGGTCGAAAGCAGCTAATACATTTAGTAATGAGAAACTTAACGCAAATGTTTCGACTTGAGCACTAAAAATAAATTAAAATAAACAATAGTAAGATTACCTTACGGCAAGTCTCTTTGTGAAGCTCTTCCTTGTTGGGTGCTTTGTGGAAATACAAGTAGCCTCCAAATATCTCATCTGAGCCTTCCCCAGAAAGTACCATCTTCACTCCTAGAGACTTGATTTTTCGAGACATAAGGAACATTGGTGTGCTTGCTCTAATAGTGGTCACATCATATGTTTCAATGTGGTAAATGACTTCCTCGAGTGCATCTATCCCTTCCTGATGAAGAGAGGGGAAAAATGGACATTATGCTTGAAACAACAGCATCATACAGTACTGTCTCATCTCTAGTTTTCAAGGGACGACATACATTACCTGAACAGTAAAATGGAACTCATGGTGACGAGTGTGCAGATAATCAGCTACCTCTCTAGCAGCTCTCAGGTCAGGGGAACCCTAAACATAAGCAAAGAAAAACGAAATCAGATCAGTGAGTAACTATTCTGTGGAAACCAAACATGACTTTAGAATTAAATTTCAGCAAATCCTTCTCCCTATATGCACAGGCTATAACAAGTCAAAATCGTCAATCTTTCACCTAAACTTCTTGATTCGGATTCTTTTGGACATAAAAAAGATGGCACCTTCAAAAGAAGAAAGAACCATGTATATCACAACTCCAATGCCAAGTCATTTGGGGAATACAAATCTAGATCGGTAAATATGTATGCATTTTGCAAGGATGCCTGGACCAAAACAAAATCAAGCTTCGCCATCTTGATATGCCAATGGCGCCGACATTTGAAATAAAAATTTAAGATACTGATTAATGATAAACTACTCAATTACGGGGTCAGGTCTTAAGCGTAGAAAAGTCAATTTGACAATAAAAAAAAATTGGTTGAAATGCACTGGGATTAATAACTTTTTTGTCAAGTTAAAATTTAACCACCTTCAAACCAACACAAAAGGTATGCAATTGTGTTCCCCACTGGCAAGCAGCTGCTAATTCAGCCATCTTTCGAGAAGCCACAGAAGCAACAAGTGAAGAGTCCAGTCCTCCTGAGAGAAGTACTCCAAATGGTACATCTGTCATAAGCCGTTTGGTCACAGCCTATAAAGTTCAAGAGGGAAAGCATGTTGACGTACAAAGTTAGCACAGTTAAGGAAGAGCTCGGAAGGAAATTTCATGAAGTTCTCAATTGATGTATTTATGATGAGGTTGACAGGAACCAGATTGCATTTAAGATGAACTTGCCTTCTCAAAGGCCTCACGTAAGTACAGCGGATCATATGGTGTTGAAGGTACTTCTTCCGTATACCATGGTGGGTTGTACCACCTCCGAAGACTTCCTGAAAGCATTTCAAACCACAAAAACAATTGCTGGTACCAGCCTCGAATGGGAAAGCGCAAAAGAAGCATTTTCTAAACTTGCATGCACATTGAATCTCAGCCCTCAAGTATAAATACTACATCCGTGGTATGTATGCCTGTTCCACTTCAACCCAAGTATTTCCATCAGTAACTGGTACTGAATTTGATACTCCATAGTGCATTTGTATGATACTTACCGGACATCCATTTAATTCAGCTACAGTTCATGTAGTAGAGTATACGACCAATCAACTTGTTTATTGGAAAAACATACAAAGAAAGGCACCAATGTGGTGTAAGAGAGAACAAATGATTTTGCTTGCCATTAGGTAAGAAAAATTAATCTTTGTTCAGATAACGTAAGCATACTAAAATTTCCAATCCAAAACAAACCTTCCTTGCTTGAATAAATGTGCCCTGGCAGGAAAGACACGAATCGCTCGCAGTCATCACTCAGTGCTTTCATTTCTGAAGCAAACCACACCGATCCTGAAACATTATTTGTGCTGTCTTAGAACCGAAACATACAACTTCAGGAAAAGGAGAGAGTAATGCAAATTCTATTTCCTCGGTCTCATTTTTCTCAAGTTGGAGTTGGGCTAATTAAAAGAATGTTGACATTTAACCCAAAAAAAAACAGAGAATCATATTGAATGAACGAATTGGACTAACATACCATCAAGGCCCCAGCCCATATAAAGTGGTGTGATACCAATTGCATCACGAGCTGCAATGAAAGTTTTGTTACGTGTGTCAAGAAGAACAAAGGAAAACATGCCATCCAACATGTGTACAAAATCTTCTCCATACTCTTCATACTGCAAAGAGAAATAGAGAAAGTTAATCAACTGTCGACAATGGAATAGAAGCAAAAAGTGGTGAGAACACGTTCAGCCACAAGCTATAGGTAAGAAGAACCCCAAACTGGGGACAACAAAGGGAGAAAAGTTTCACAGTGACCTTTCCTCCTTGACAAAACAATAGCAGTTATAAAGTTACATCCTTTGAAATGATCAAGAAACAATCACAAGAACTAACAGAAAGCAAAATCCAATGCAAGATATCTGGTTTGCATTAGTCTCCAGAACCAAAACCGTACTCGGCAGAGCAGCAAACATCAAACATAAGCTACTTACAAAGAATTTAGCAACACAAGGAACTTACTAGATGTGCAATCACTTCACAGTCACTGCCAGTCCGGAACTGATGGGAAGTCAATTTCTCACGCAGCTCCTTGTGGTTGTATATCTCCCCATTAACCTTAAAAGTCAAGTTTGGAAATCACAAGATAAGAAGAAGTTCAAATTGTTTAACCAACAGTGACATTTCCATGGCTAACTCTGCCCATTTGTATCTAAAGGCAATTTCACAGCATGTACATATTCAAAACAAACAAATAGGCATATCCACATACAAGGAGGAAAATGTTAACCATAATCTGGGTCATGCATTCAAACCACCATCGCCATTAACAAATCACTCTAATTGTATAAAAAATCACTCTTTGTCAGTTTTAACTATCACGACCTGCTCTATCCTATGCGTTTGCCGCTTTTGCTTTCAAAACTTAATTAATGAGTGATATTGCATCAAAGGGTTCAAAATCTGCCCAACACTCCAAACCTCAGAAACAATACAATATACTTACTGTGACGACAACAGTCTTGTCTTCGTTGTAAAGTGGCTGATCCCCTGAGGCAGGGTCTATAATGGCCAATCGCTGATGCGCCAGATAGCAATCGTCATAGCAGTGCAGTCCACTCCAATCAGGACCCCTGTGCCTCAACCTACAAAATAACCAGGGGGAAATTAACAAACAAATCAATCGCAGCTAAAAATCGCCGGCGAAATACAAAACGACAAAAGGAAGACTTGGGAAGAAGCCGGGAATGGGTACATGCAAGTTCAGACGGAAACAGAGAAAATGCAAACACCCAATGGTGAATGAGAAGCACTGGAAGTATTACGCAGTAGACAATGAAGGCAGCAATCCGCAATAGAGCCATCGAATTTGAAATTAGAAGAAAATGGCGGAGAAAAGATGGATGGTTACCTCCGGGAGAGCTCGATGATGCGGGAGCGTTTGGCTTGGGAGTTGTCCACACAACCGAAGACTGCAAGGATTCCACACATGGCGGCGGCGGCGGCGAAAGCCTTTTCTTCTCGCTCTGTGAAATGTCAGCTGAGCAGTGTGGAGGAGGAAGCCAGCAGCGCACGCAGAGAGCGCCAGAAATAGAGTGGAGGGCTAAGAGATGGCTGAATGGAATAGGTTGAATTTATTTGGGTATTTTATATTGGGGCTTCTTCAATCACCGCCGTTGATTCTGACTGACTGCATCTCCAGAAAGAGATTCCACTGCCCTCTTTTGTCGTTACTCTTACCCTCTTTCCTTTTTTTTACTTTTTGTTTGCGTCAAATACCAACGAACGGAAACTTTCCAAAACTTGCATTTTTAATAGGGGGAATGAATTAGGAGGAAGAGAGATCTTTTTAAAGATAAAAAGTAAAGTATCTAATAAGCAAGTAAGTAACCCCATTAATTAGTATTAGATTTCAGTATATACATAAATGTCACATAAATTTTGTAAATCGAAATTACGTATCTAAAATTATTAAAGATATGAGTAGGAAGCTGAATGTAGAGAGCTGGCTTGAACCAACCATAATAATTGGGGAAGGGGATGAGTTAAGATGGTGGAATGCGTTATGGTGGTGAGTGAATTTTTAGTAGCCATCATCATGGCTACATCAGTATCCACCATTTATTTTCTTCTCTTTCCTCCTTTTTTAATCTTACGGTTAAGATTGTCTCAGGATAATTTTGGAAGAAAAAAAAAGACCACACTGGATTATTCTATATATTCTACCCTAACCCTACTTCTACAGTCGATCCCGCCCCGCCTTCCGTCGCCTACCTGATCACCGGATCGAAAGGCGACTCCAATCGGATCCTCCGCCTCCTTTACGCTGTCTACCACCCAAAAAACCGCTACTTGCTCCACCTCGACCCCTCCGCCGTGCCGGCCGAGCGGGAACGGCTGGCCCTGGCCGTCGAATCGGTTCCCGTTTTCCGGGCTGCCCAGAATGTAGATGTGATTGGGAAGCCGGATTTTGCATACCGGCGAGGGTCGTCGCCGGTTGCGGCTACTTTACACGACGCGTCTCTGTTGCTGAAGTTGTCCAAGAATTGGGATTGGTTTGTTCGCCTGGGAGCTGCTGATTACCCTCTTGTTACCCAAGATGGTAACTTTTCTTCACTCACTACAATGGGGAATCTGCAATTCTTCCGATTCTAATCAAATTGGTGCTATGTTCTTGCAGATCTGCTCCACATTTTCTCCTACTTGCCCAAGGGTCTCAATTTCGTGAGTCACAGTAATTACATTGGCATGGTTAACGGCGCAACCTCCGCCGTCTGTTCCATCATCTCCGTCGCCCCCGATTGGACTCGTCGTTCCGTGCGCGTAGGGCTGTCGTTCCGGTCGGATTGGTATATATTTTTTTAAATGGTAGTCATTTTTTTCCGTAGTGACTTTTTTTAAATGGTAGTCATTTTTCCCCGTAGTGGTAGTGTTATTGTCGTATTGGTATTGTTTTTGTCACATTGGTATTATTTTTGTCGCATTGGTATTGATTTTGTCGCATTGGTATTGATTTTGTTACATTGGTATTGATTTTGTCGCATTGGTAGTGATTAAATCTGCAATGGTATTGATGTTTTGTGAAATGGTAGTGTTTTTATGTCTCGAATGATATTGATGTTTTGTACAATGGTAGTATTTTTTAATGGATTGGTATTGATTTATTGTTTTTTTGTTGCAGCGGTATTAGTTTGGATGAACGAAATTAAGAAAAGATTGAGAAAAAGAAGAGAGATCTGGCTGAAAAACTGTCAAAGTGAGAGAAAGAGAGAGATTAAAATTGTATTTAATATATTTATGTAATTTCCTAAAAGATAATTTATTAAAAAAAGATCATAATAAATTTTTTGTTATACCCAATTTACCCTTAGTAACCACGGTGATTACTATAAAATAGTAACCACCGTAACCTGTCCCTTAAGATGGTTACTGATTTTTAAGTAGCCATAGTGGCTACCTACATCTCCACTCTCCATTCATGGGATTATTAAACTGACGGTCATTATTGAATAGGGATAATTTTGGAACGAAAATAATGACCACACTTGATTACTTTCCCTAAAATAAGATTTTCCATATATTCTCTCCAAACCCTTAATAACCTTATTCCTTTCCTTCCTTTTCAATCACTGCTGTATTCCTCCCCTTCCGCTTCAATCGCCGGCCGCCGTAAACCTGGCTATGCCAGCCCTCCCCTCCCACCATCTTTGTATTCAAACCTCCCATCAACCCCTTGCGTGCTTCTAAATCCATGTTCCCCTTTTCCTTCCTCTTTTTATTCAACCCAACATCTTTTTATTTAAACCCTCATACGCCAAAAACTCTACCTCATTGCCGTGGACAATGTCCAGATCACCATCTATTGTCTCTCTCCCTCCTCCCCTCCCCTCCCCTCCCTTCTCTCGCAATTACTCTCTCTCACAAGCGGCTGAAAAAGGTAAAAGGTGGAATGAATAAAAACCCTAGATCTGATTTTTTGGCATTGGTAGTGTTTTTTCCGCATTGGTATTGTTTTTTCCGCATTGGTATTGATTATCATGTAAGTGTATTATTTTTTCTGTAGTGGTAGTGTTTTTCGCATTGGTATTGTTTTTGTCGCATTGGTATTGTTTTTTCGCAATGGTAGTGTTTTTTTCCTCATATTGGTAGTGATTTTTTTCTATAGTCCTTGTATTGGTAGTTTTTGTAAATTGAGTGGTATAGATTGTTTATATTGGTAGTTTTCGTGTAATGGTATAGATTTATTTCTGCAATGGTAGTTTTCGTGTAATGGTATAGATTTATTTATGCAATGGTATTGATGTTTTTCAAAGTGGTAGTGTTTGTCTAATGGATTGGTAATTTGGTAATGATTTTGTTTTGTTTTGTTTTTTTTTTTTTTTTTGCAGAAAGATTGAGAAAAATATGGAAAGGAAATCTGGCTGGAGATCACGGAAGTGAGAGAAAGAGAGAATTTTAATTAATAGATTTTTGTAACTACCTAAAATGTAATTTATTAAAAAATTAATTAATATAATTTATTTTTCCATACTCAATTTACCCTTAGTAATCACCGTAACCTGTCCCGGCTAAAATTTTACCGATTAGTCTATTTCCAAAATCTGTTACAAATTTTACGTATAATATTAACTATATTTCAAATTTTTGAGAGGGTTATGGTCACTCCTAGTTTAAACCTAACTCTCCCACTGATTCATTGTTCAACTGGTATTCGTACTTCAAATTTATGGTATGTTATAATCTCGAATATTAATTCCAACCAAAGACCCTGAACAAAGCTAGTGTGGAGAAAATTGAATGGTGTGGCGACCAAATTTTTGGACCATTCGTTAAGAATGGATTGACCTTGTTAGCAATGCAGTTAAAAGCGTAATTCTACACAGAAGCATCTTGGTGATCTAGAAGCGTAAAATTATAAGCTTTAAAGCGTAGCTTTTGACTACACTTGTAACAAAACAATACAATTCTAATTTGAAGTATTTTGGTAACTGAGAAGAGTAAAAATATAAGTTTTTAGTTTTAAAACACGATTTTAAATGCATTTTAAATGCATTGCTTGTTAGGTTTCGAATTTGAGAATCGCCCTTCTACCAAAACCTCTTTTTACACGTAATGTTGATTGTGTGTCTTTGGATTGAGCGGGGAAAAATGGCATATAAGATCAGTGTGATGTGATAGAAAATTGGGTAACTCTAGTTTTGGCAAAATCACACCTCACCATTACAACGACTCGCTGAACTGTGATTGATTTGACTACTCTTGAAAGAAGAAAAGCAAAAGGGGAAGAGGGTTAGATGCAGGTCAGGATCTCTCTGCCTTGAACTTGCTATAATCCGACAACAAGCTGCCATTAACCTTGTGCTTCATGTTCTCAACCAATCTAGTCAGCACCTGTTATGCCACGTCAACAGATGGCAGGAACAAAAGAAAGAAAGAAAGAAGGATCAGCATCAGCTAAAACTCCTTCAATTCCACCATGGTTCATCATGGAAACTATGAAGACATGTACATACCGTTTCAGCAACGCTCTTGCGAACATCCTCTGGAACAAAGGCAAGCACTGGAGGAAGGAGAAAGCTTATCTCCATCTCCAGCTTCCCTTTAAGCCTGGTTCTGCTTCTGGTTCTGGTTACGGTCTCACCTCTTCCTCTGTCGGCGTATAACACTCCTCTTACGCCGAGGGAGAAATGAGACGGTTCGATGACGTCGTTGAGCCCCTTCAGCTCCCATCGCAGCTTCGGGAATTCATGCATTCCAGAGAATACTTTATTTGGATGAATTGAGAAACGAGAGTTTGTCAAAAATGCATATGCATTAGTTGGTTGTTGTAACGTACAATTTGGAGCTCCATAACCTTTGTGATTTGTGGTGGGTAGTCTCTCCCTCCAGCTATGCACCTCAGCCTCGCATCAACTGTTGGCCATACTGTCAAGAATACGAAGTTTATGGGCAGCATTTGAATCCTCCACTCTTCCTGCCCACAACAAAAAGAAGCTTCCTTTATCCCAAGTTCTGTACTTTATCCATTGTTGTCCTTTAAGTGCAGAGGTATCTGCAAATTTCCATCGAGATTAAAACAGAAAGATTCACACAGCTACCTCATTAAGCTGTTGGCTTCTCTGTTTATCAGGGAACATTGCCTGGAAAACCCTGGGTTTGTCCTCCAGATACCTATCAAAGGAAGCCTGCAATATAAACCCACCCACCAAAACATAAAGAAAAGGTAACCAACAGAAGAAAAAGGAAGTAGAAGGGGTGAATGAATTGCCATGGTGCAACGTACTGCTGGAGATGGAGATTCATGAAGAGGGATATCGGTGGTGATGGTTGCAGAGTATGTTTGAGGTTGCTGCACTGATATCTGGCTCTGCACATGCTGCCTTGATGATCTTGAATGCAGCCGCCATTGTTTCCTCCCTAACTTCTTCCATTCTCCTTCCCCTGTGGTGAAGTTGCCAATGAGCTGCTGCTGCTGCTGCTCCTTCTGGATTAACGGAGACAATAAGGAACCTGCTGCTCCTGCTGTAATTTTACTCATTTTCCTCTGCTTCTCAGCCTTGCCCACTCTTCGGGCCTCTGCTTTTGCTTTCTATCCCACTCAGGTGAACAATAGATAACAAAGGAGCTGTCGTCTTGTCCACTTGTCAATTTGTCTGGACTACCGAAATCTGGAAAAGGAAACGGTGGGAGATTACGTGGGTCAGACCCACTGAAAGTTCGACTGCATAATTGGGGTTGGGGAGATTGAGAAGATTGTGACTACCAAAAAAACCACCTAACTTGATTCCAAGTCTTCTGGGCGTAAATCAAGTCCATAGATGTTTGATAACAACAATCATTTAAAATGAAATGTGACCAGTAACAACAAGGCTGAAAGCAATTGCAAGAGAAGCACCATTCCAAATACCAGAACTCGTACCATCAAACCTGTGTATAAAACTATATATTGTAATCAAAAAAATTGACCAAAAAACCTAGAGGACGGAGTTGATTGGCCGGCAGAATTTCGCCCATAGAAAGGGCAAACTCTGGTCATTAGCTGCTCGGATAGTAGACTTCAGGGCACAAAAGATACCAAGTATTGAACAACATACTTCTCACTACAAAAAACCATGAAGCATGGTTTATGATACATTATCATGTTTGGGAGCAAGATTTAGGCATCACTCTGAATGAAACCTCCAGGAGGAATCTGCTCAAGCTGCAAACAGCTCATACATACGTGACGGAACTCTTCTTCTTAATGTCGTTTTACTGCTGTGCTGTAGTGCAGCAAGCAACAACTTCTGTGCACCTATTTGGCTACGTTTTATTTCCACTTTAAGTTCGAGGGACCCCGAGCAGTTTGAGGTTTCCTTCTCCTGTGGCATGTATTGATCACACAACAAGTTTACATCATGTTACAGTTTATAAGCTAGGCAGAATGTGGTATCCTCACTGCCATCCTTTGGGCAAGCCAGGGCCTTTCTGGATTTGGATCAATAAAGCCGTGCATCACAAATTGATCAGCTTCTTCGTCTATCAACTCTCTACACCACCCAACTCGTTTTGAAGGGCAACTACCTGGCCCATAGCACCTGCAATTACAGTACAAGGCAATCACTTCATGCATCAAATGAGTAACAGGAAAGGGGGTTATAATGTTGAAACTCAGAAGAGTGGAAAGGTTAGAGGAAGAAAACTTGTGGGGTTTTACCTGTACTCATAAAAGCAAGCACTTCTCTCATTCTCAGGTTTGCCCCAGTTGTTCCACCCCACGTGTCTGATGCATTGATCCATGTAAGTGTATGCAAAAACTACCCTACCAAAGGGACCCCATGGTCTCCCAAGATACATGTATGATGCCTTCCCATTCCCAGTTATCACACATCTGCATAAAGACGCAGATTTGTCAAGGGGAACCAAGATACCAAGGTACTAATGATGCCATAATGAGACATATGTTTCAGTAATAGCAGCTGCTAAAAGGATGTCAACCACTACAGAAACAATGGACCAATACAAGCTTGTGCCAAGAGATCCCCCGTAACTTATCTGATACGTTGAAACTTAAAATCATGTAGTAAAATCTGGAGAGATAATGAGCAGCTAACATGAAAAACCAAAGGCTGGGAAGACACATTCTTTCTTTAGAATGCTAAAAAGCCATTTATCCTCATTCAAACCACATTGATTCGACTTGCTTGGTCTCTAGAGTTTGGGGCTCCATGATAAAGGGAAAATACAAACTACCCAATCAACCTAATAGCCTGATTAGAGACCTCAGCCAATGCAGAAATGTTAACACCACAGAGAAAAGATCTGATAAACAGTGAACTACTCGCCTTAAAAACACATAACCTGTTGACTCTTGAGATGACTTTCGTGCTTGTGCAGTAATAAAGCCTTCTGATTTACAGTGGATATGACAATGTTCAAGGAGTGCAGTGCTATTGCCGAAAATGAAGTCCACACTTCCTTCAATATAACAATCCTTCAGGTACTGTTTCCCATAATGCAGATAAAGTGTATCCTGCACAATTTAGCAGGCGAAATCAATAGATTGTATTGATTTATACATACTCAATTGAAGGTAAAAGTTATGAATTTTAAGATATCACAACCATAGAGAAAACGAGACTTATGACGCACCTGCCATCCAAGAAACCTACAATTGTAGAAACCACAGCGATCAGCTGTTACTCTGAGTGCCACAGCTTGGCCAGAACCCTGAAACAAAAGATGGATATAGACTGAATGAACCACTGAAGAACTTCAAGCATAAATCATCAAACATAGCAGAAAGGTTTGACTTTCTGCTTCACTAAACAAGCCCTCATAATCATGCAATTTGACCAAAAAACACTGGCCTAAAGCTAGCTCTGAAACTATAGTCGATTCACCGAGCACAGTACAGTTTGAACTTTTAACCCGGAAGAGACGGGTCAAAACCTACTTTTATGCTTACCTATAGCCTTATCCCAACCTAAGGAACCAAGTTAAAAGTTCCACTCTATCTAAGAACACACTCCTAAAACAAACCCCCCCCCCCCCCCCCCCCCCCCCCCCCCGCTGAAATTATCCACAACTAAGTAAAACTTGACAAAAATCAGAGTGAAATGACAGTTAAGTTGGAAAAAGCATTACCTGAGGGCAGGAGTTCTCAAAAGTGACGTTCTCAGCAATGAAATCTTCTCCTTCCACAATCACACTTCCACAACCGAAAGTCCCCGTCCCAATCAACCTTTCCCCCTGCAACCAAAAACCCAGGATTAGAAGATGAAAGTTTATGCATTAGTGTATGTTCTGCAAATTTAAGCCTTCTACCTGGTGGTGATCGATTCTGGAGGCGCTGTTGTTCCAGGTAAGTACGGTGTCCTCCGGCCGCAAACCGGCCAGGGTTATGAAATTTTTTCTCTTTGGAACGTACACAGGCTGCCTGTAAACTCCTGGGGCCACACGGATTACAGTTCGGAAGTTGTTCCCGAACGGCACACTGTCGACTGCAGCCTGCACGGTGGTGAAGTCACCGGTGCCATCCTGCGCCACCGTTATCACTCTCCCCGCCATCAAATTGATCCTCCCTCGGCTTTCTCTCCTTCGAGAGGTCGGCAAATGGAAACGATGGAGATTACAGCAGAGGCAACGGCGGGAAGAAGAAATATGATTGTGTTCGGAATTGAAGATTCCGAGGAAAATGGCTATGGAATTGAGTTCCTTTTCGCTTCCTTTTTATCCGAAATCCGAATCTTTCTTCCTTCCCCTCTGCTCTCACAGTAGAACTGGAAGTAAAACTAACTGAAAACAACCGGCAGTGTAGCTTTTACCATAGTTGCGATTGGGCTTGGTTGCTTTGGGCGGCAAATTTTGACAATTGGATTGCCAGGCCCAACTCTTACTGGGTCAAGGCCCAATTTGAACTCCTGCCTCCTCCTGTAACCGCTTTCCCTCCTCCCCACTCCCCAGTATTTCCGCCATAGCCGCTGCTCAGCTGAGCTTGAACACAAAGCAAGCGAAACTCGCCGGGGGAAGAAGAAAAAGAAGAAGCAGAAGCAGAAGCAGGAAGAGTAAGATATGGGGAGCAGGTTGGGAAGAAGAGTGATACACTTCGCAAACCTTCCGATCAAGCTTCTAATGCCTAAGACTTACGAGAACATCAACGAGATCGCACTCAAGACCGTCCCTTCCGCCTCCAAAATCGAAATCAAGCGCGTCTTGGAGTCGCTCTACGGCTTCGAAGTCGACAAGGTTCGCACGCTTAACATGGAGGGAAAGAAGAAGAAGCGCGGCGGGATTCTCTTCGCCAAGCCTGACTACAAGAAGGCCTACGTCACCCTCAAAACCCCGCTCTCTATATCTCCCGATTTGTTCCCGCTGAAGGTTGTCGAGCAGGAGAAGGAGAGGATGAACAAGCAGCAGAGGTCCGGCGAAGTCGTGGAGGATGGTGGTGGAAAGAAGCATTGGCTCGACGGGAGGAGAGAGGAGAGGGAGAGGAATGTGAGCAGCCGCGGTGGCGGTGGAGGGTACAAGGGACGTCGCGGTGATGCCGCGGCAGAGAATCTAAAGTTCCCTTGGAGCAGCATGAGGACTTCTAGGTAGGAGTTTGGTCTGTTTTGATACTTCCTTTCTGAACAATTAGGGTTTCTTGAACTTACTTGTTGGGAAGTTCTTAGTGTGATTGAAGTTGTATGAATAAAGTTCGTTTTTGCCATGACTTGCTGTTTCCCCTAGGCTTTTCTTTGTGTTCCTACTGGAATCTTGATATGAATCCACTTGATTATCTGGCTATACGATAGCATGCTGTTTGATTGCTGCTTGGAACCATTGCAATATTGCAAACTGTAACCTTTATGATCATTCTCTCTAGCTGAATTTCAGCTGCGAAAATCGGAATACCTCGAAACATAGTACAGGTTATATGGCTGCATCTAGGACTACAGAAAGAAATAGCATTGGCCATATTATTTGGCACATGATATAGGGATGACTCATATGGTTCCATGCAAACTAATGATCCCAGTTAATACTTTTATCTAACCTTTGGCCTTCTGAAAAGCCAAATGGGTCGAATTGAATTCATATTAGACAGTAAATTACTTCTGGGCATCTGGTTGCAGTTTCATTCTGCATGATTGGCATGTTGCTTCAAATTCTACGAAATGGACATTCTTCTTCTCAAGCTGGGTTTACCGCTTGTGGAATGGGATCTCTGCCTTCCTTCTACTTCCTCCCCATCCGCTTTCCTGTGGAACAGAGAGGATCTCCTTATCCTTTTCCAACCAAAGCTCCAAGATAATGTCTGTTTCTGCTTGTTGCTTAACCTAGCATAGTCGAGCTGCAGTTCCAAGTAGTCCTTCTGTAGCTCTGTCATTTGTGTCTTAACATTCCCCAGTTCCGCTTTAAGTGTCATGATTTCTGATTTTGTTTCTGTTTGATGTGTCTCCTGTTCTGAAATATTGCTGCTCTCTGCTGACTCTTTTCTTTGCATTGATGCCCTCAATTTCACCTGCTCTGAGAACAGAACCTGCAGAAAAAACATTCTCTCTTACTTTTGCTCATTCCCTAATAGTAAGTATTTAGTAGGATTTTCAAAAATACCTGAATTGCGGTTCTTAGAGGCAACCTCTCATTTTGTGCTGCATGCATGCTGGCATCCAGGGATAGTTTCTCACAAATCAATAGTTTGCAAACCCTTTTACGATCATGCTCTGAGAGTGAAGGATGAGCCTGGAAAAAGGAAAGATAATTTTTTATCGACTATTTGTTGTTTGGTCCCCGTACAAACTTAAAGAAACTGAAAGAGCAAGGAACCTTGATATAGGTGTCAATGGCCCTATACAGGCCATCATGGCATGCTCTAGCATTTTCTGGCAGTGCTTCAGCCAAAACCTGAAATTTCGTGACGGATACATTCGGATCCTTGGCAATTTCAGCTAGGTAGCTGTCTAGAAGCTTACTGACGCTTGATTTCTCTGGTGTTGGTTGTAGTTGCTGCTGATCCTGTTCATGCATCAAGAAATACTCTATGATTCTTTGTACGACATCTAGGTTGTGCATCGTGTGTTGCTGGTCAGAGCATCTGTGCCACAAGTAATGTCAATTAGTATAGAGTCGATTGATTATGTCTATATCATTAGGGAACAAGAAAAAAAAGTGCGAGGATAACTTACTTTAGTAGCTTCCCTTGATCTTCATTTTTGTAATTAGGGATCAGCAAATCGTTCACAGTGGCCGTCTCTAATGTCATCCCAACTCTCTTCTCTAGCTGTGTGATCAAAGCTGGTGATGCACAATAAACAATACCCATCTTCAACATCTTCAATAAAAATCTACAGGGTACGGTTTCTCGTTTAGGAGGCAAGATGCTTATTAGGTTCTCAATTATTGCCTTCTTCTCCTTGTCGTGTCCAGCACCCTGATCTTCCTTTCTCTTTCCCTGGTTGGCATAGCCTCTTACTTCTAACTCCTCATCCATTCCCGACAACCATCTTGATGCATAACGCATTATACACTTGCCAATGATCTCTGGGTTTGCTACCTTTGCCCTAATAGCTGTTATAACCCTTGTGAAATGATCGATGCGGAGGGTGGCCACATCATCAAGCCACCATGCATCTTCACTAGCTGTTGCTGGATCCCCAGTAGTTGTCAAATTGTCTCTTGAAGCCTTCCATGCAATTGAGTCGCAGCATCTCCTAACAATTTGTTGATCTTCTACCCATGGAGATAGTGCTTCGCAGGATTTAAGGACGGTGATTGTGTCCCTCCATGAAGAGATAATGATGAATGTGAGGAAAGCTTCTGTCTTTGTGATTAGATTCCCATCATCAAGATCTTCACTCATTTCTAGGTATTCTGATGCACACCTAAGTTGAGCTATGTTCTGGGGGTTCAAATCCAGGGGAAGGCCATAACAGAACTTTAAAACGGTGTCGAATGCTTCTGGTCCTCCTGGGAAGTTTTCAAGCTTGACTTCATAGGCAAAGTTTGAAATTGAAGGCTGAAGTTCGAGCCGCCCTATGTAGCCGCATTTTGATACCAAGGGGTACTGTTTTGCAGAAAATACTTAGCTTAAGTGAGTCATTTGGGTAAAGAAAGCTCCAATATGACAGAAAATTTATCATGGCAAGCCTGTGCCTTTTTACCCTCGATGATCTTCTCAGTATGGTATGCTTATTGCATCTGTAAGAACTTCTTTTGCATGTAAATGTTCATTCTAGTTTCCGAAGTTGAATGAATGAAGTTACCTTGTGAACAGTGAACGTAGCCTCTTGCACTTGAACAGATAAATCTGGTGGGGTTTGAGGAGTGATAGACCTGCGTGAGTTTGGAAACCATTAGAAAGCATATGGAAAGATCGTAAACAATACGAAGAGACGATGATGCCTTGCTTTACTTCACTAGGGGGCATGCTATAGAAGCTGGGACTTCGAATAAAGAGTTTTGTTAGTCGGTTTTGCTGTACTGTACCATGTCTGATCTTTGTTATCCATAACTTCAGTTAGAGCAGCAGCAATGCCATTGGAAGGAACCATTATGCTCTGTTGATGATGCAGCTGCTGATCATCATCTTCGGAGGTGCTGCCTGAGGCCGAGGAGGAGCTTTGGCTTTGAACAAGTGGCAGGGAGGAGTGTTGGGTGTTGTTCGTTGTCGTGATGGTGAAGAAGGCTTGTTGGTGAGGGTATAGCTGCTGAACCCGCCGCCCTCCTCTAGTAGCACTGTAATCGGCCATATTTTCGTTTCCTGAACCACAACTGTGGGTAAAGAATGAATGATCCATCCCTCGTTCATGTGAAATGCATATCAGTCACTACAATGGTGGAATTGGCCAAGGTGAGTCCTTGAGTTTCTTTTCAATTTATCATGTGCCTGTACTTTACACAGTAGGGTAGAGGGAAGGAGAATTATTTGAAAGGTGAAATGGGTTTGATAGGGATCACTCATTAGTGCAATCGGGTTGGGGTTTAGGTGGAGGGAATGTTTGTGATTTGTCAATTCACAGGCCACTTTTTCCAAGCTTTTAGCCGATTGTATTATTGTACAGACCTACGGGCCCCATTATTCAGATTTCAGACACACATGTGGGGACTTGGCAAAATCACGGTCGTAGTTCAACGGTTTTATATCGCTAAATCATTTACCGATTAGAGTTCGACATTCGATATCCTCGATCCACCCGGCCGGTACGGTCTCTAAAAAACTGGAATTTGTGGTGACATCTAGCTGTCCTAGAGGTATATATCCCATCATTATTCATCTTGTTGGTTGTTTATGAGGATGTGATCAGCATTCAACATGTGGCAAAGAAAATAAACCGACTTGTTCATGAAAGATCCAAACTTAAGGATTAAGGAATGATTGGTACTGAAATACTTCAAATTTCAACTGTTTCTGGATTTCCTCCATTGTGAATTGACAATTCTATTGTACACTCAACTACATCACAATTAACTAACAAAATACCCGGCAAAAACGCAAAAGATCAGAGCTCCAACATCTTATTGCCTGAAAATTTCACCATCGCCAAAACAACACAAGCACATCCAACAAATTTCTGACTCCAGATTCTGAATTTGTAATGTTCGAAAGTCTAAATCACCATACCTCCATGACTGCTGCAGCTTCAACCTTGAAACAGCTCTGCGCAGCCGCAAATCGTGAGGATGCAATTGCATTTCCACATTACAACGTTGGTGCATCTGTTCTTCGTTGGTGCAGATCAAAACTTCAGAGAGAAAAGCTACACTAACTAACCTATCCCTTCCACTATCCAAACAGTCTATCTCATGTTACCCTCTCTCAGCACGTCAATCATATTGTAGATCCGCTTCTCTGCCTTCAACATAACCTAGAGTTTTAAAAAGCAGGGCAAAAGTAAGCAATCAAGAGTTTTACTTTGTTTCAAAATAACCTCTCCGCAACATAGTTATATTTACAAACCTTCTTTGACAAGAAGATTATGGCATCAACAGTACCCTCTGCATATATCGACCTACCGCACACATTATGTTGAAACTCAAAGGAAACTCTGCAATTGAAAGAAACCCGTTTTTAGTTTATCCTTTGATGAGACAACAGAAAGCAGAGCACATGAAGAGTAGATGTGAGAGGGAGCGAAGAATTACGTCTCATCAGGTGATGTCAGATGATACATGTGGAAAGCGTGACCAGTCAGATACTCCTCGGGAACTCCTACCATCTCAACTTGTTGGTTGGGGTCTCTAATCAATTGTACCTGAACAAAGGTGAAGACCAAAGATTCCTATCAGACTGCTTATTAACTTACGGTAATCCAGTTGTTACTGTAATGAAAGTGAACTGTAGCCTAAACAAGATGATTAGCATACGTCGTTCATATCGAAAGACACCCCCAATTTCTGGAAGCAAGCTATTACAGCCTTAGCAGTTCCAGAGACATCCAACTTTCCTGCTTGGTGAGACTCCATCACCTGAAAGTAATGACAAGTGCAGCAAGTTAGATTAGAGTTGCTGCGAGAAAATTGCATAAAGGATGATGTGAGACGCAGGTTGAGTTTCAACTGTCCTAATAAAGAGAAGATAGTAGCATTGTTCTATCCAAGGAGTATACCATGCATTAATCACGGAATCTTCAAAGTTAAATTTAAGGATCAATATATAAAACCATTATGAACAGATTTCCAAGGATATGATAAAAGAAAAAGTGGAATCAACTCTGTTTCATCGTTGGGTGATAAACAATGGTGCGAAGAATATGGTCCAGTTCTTCGTATCACATGCATCATGACCTAAATCCTACGAGAGTTTCTCAAAAGAACACAACGTACGAATTATGGCCAGAATCAAGCACTCTGATTCTACCAAGTCGGACATAAAACAAAGCATACCTGAAGCTTATACCCAGAAAAAGCACCTGGGGAGCGTTCAGCCATAGTCTCCATGGCATCAAGAAAAGCAACAACCTGCGACAATATCCCCCATTAACATGACATGCTAAAAAATTACATACATAAATTCAGCAAAGTAGACATAGAACTCGAAGTCACCTGTTTCCCCATTTGAGGAGATATCACAGCATAAATTTTTGAATCCTCAACAGTCTTGTACAACCGATCCCTGTCTCCACCGGTGGTTCCCATAACAAAAGGCACACCAACCTTGCAATATGTCTCCGCATTATCTGCATGTCACAAACGTTTCTCATCTTACGTGATTCGGCAAAATGAAACTACAACAATGGAGCAAACATGATTGTTTTAGGAATGTCGGATATACAGTCTTCTTTGGAAAATGAACTTTTGAAATCAAAAGTTAGGTGTTTGATGATACCATTCACTGCACCAGGAATCGTATAGTCGACAACAATCATATTTGGATGTTCATTGTAGGCAGTGGCAAGGGCAGCCTCTCGTGTGGAAGGGCCATGAATCTCGATACTTCTGCCACAAACCTCTACAACATGTCCAGACTCCTCTTCCGAGCCAAATGATATAGGAAGAATTTGAAGCCCAGCTGAATCTGCTGCTTTAATGACAGCCTTCCCCATGTTTCCACTACAGCTATTTACCTGTAATTGGAATTTCACTTTAAACAAAATTACGGGATATCGAAAGACCAGGAAAAGCAATCTTCCATGAGCACAGGTATTGGATGCCCAGAAGAGCTCAGTCAGATTATGTTTAGAATCCAGTTCTACCTTGAATGCATACACGAAGTTTTAACTAAGCAATGGATCTAACAACTTGGAAATGGAGCCGTGGTTAAGTGTTCAATAGTACTAAGAACAGTCAATGAAAAACAGGCATACCATTATTGGGACACCGCTGTTGCTGCTGGTGGACATGGATAATACCACAAGAGAAGAAGAGCGGCGTCTGCGTAGGAAGCATCCAGCTTTTGCTGGCGTTCTATCTCCAAGCAAGGTAACCTTGGGCAATAATCCGAATGAAATGTGCGCCACCGCCGTCATCTATGGATAGAATTAGAAAGAAGCGTTAGGAAGTAAGGGAGCAAACAAGAATGAAGGAAGGGAGAAAGAAACCGAGGTCCCAGTGCAAATGCAGAGCCAGAGCAAACAAAAAAAAGGCCTTTACTTACCAGGAAATCAAAGAGGAAAAACCAGTGCTTTCAGCAATGTGATAAGCAGCTTCCCTATGGGAAGAAGGGTTTAGGGGTTTATTTCAATGTTCTCAACTCGGTTTACGCCGATTTAGCGAGTAGTATGGTCGATCGGGTATAATCGATTATATGGCGTTTTGTGTTTTTTTTTTTTTTTACAAATGGTTAAATTTCATTCCTCAACTATTGTAGCACAAGCTTGGTCTATTACAATAAAGGAGAGATCAAATCAAGAATATGAATCCACTCTAAAGGGAGGGAGCCACTTCGAGTTTCCTTAGCAACCCAATCGGCATATTTGTTGTTTCTGCTATGAGTAAAGGCCACACGAATATAGTCATTTTGCACAAGAATCTACTTCATAGAGTGGATCCAAGCTTTCACTTACCAAGGCCAGGACCTGCTCCGACCTAGTAGAATATTGATGATGACCACGTAGTCGGAGAAGATGACAGATGGCAAACCCGAATCCTCAGATGGCGTTTTGTGTTGTTTTACTAAAATATATGAGAAAATACAATTAACACTAAATAAATTGTATATTTTTAATTTTTTAAAATCTATTTTAAAACAATCCATATATAACTTCCATCCATATTTAAATATTGCATTACAAACAAAATGACAAATCATCATTAATTAAATGTAACATTTAACGTCAGTATCCAAACGTTTATACTTGAATTCAATAGATACCATCAACATATAAATGTTCATACTTGAATCAGACAAATTTCTTTCTTTTTTAAATTGTGATTGATTGTGAGGTGTTAATCGGTATTTGTAATTACGTGATTGAGATAAGAATATACCATAAAATATTTAAAAAATTATAGTTAATTAAATAAGCCCACAAAGTATCGTCATTACTCACTCTTCAACAACTCAAAAGCCCTTATCCAATCTAAGCTTAGCTTCCAAGTTTTCTAGGTTACTCTCGACTCTCACTCAATCTCTTGTTAGTTTCAGAACACCGAAAAGTGGGCAGTCTTATTAGTCATTTCTCATCCTCAAATCCATCCAAATAAAGATTACCGGGGAAATTTGTTTGAGATATCACCATCTCGTCTCCTCTCCTTGCCCCTGCTTAGTTTTAGACGAACTAGAGATCATTTGTTTAGTCTCGTTGTCCCAAATGAGAACCTCTTATGAACCCTTCAATAGAGACTTTGATTGACTCTATTCAAAGTGAACTTTGATTAGTGTTTGTAAGACTTTTCTATAGGGTTCAGTAGAGAATTTGATTGACTCTATTCAAAGTGAATTTTGATTAGTGTTTGTTAGACTTTTCTCTAGGTTTCAATAGAGACTTTGATTGACTCTATTCATAGTGAACTTTGATTAGTGTTTGTTAGACTTTTCTCTCATGGTGAACGAAAAATAACTGTAACCAGCCCACTCGTCCAATCCTACCCAACTCATCCCAATTTATCACTAAAATTAAGATTTAAGATTGGTTGAGGGTTCTCTCTTGTGAAACCTGCCTCTCTTGGGTTGGGTGTGGGTTCTCGGTTATGCAACCCGTAGATACCGGACCCAACCCGTGTTACAACTATTATCTTATGTGTTCGTATCCAAAAACATATTTATGTCGTATACAAACATATTTGTGATGGGATTTGGATACTTTGCCATATTAGTTGTATTTAATATAGGATATGATTCACATTTTTTCATACAGTTTTAGAAGAATAACATCTTATGGATGCGCTAGTTTAAAATGAAAACATTTTTACTTTATTTTGGTAAATATTTATGGAAAATACGAGACATATGTTGAAGCAAATTGCACTTCATCAAGATCCAAACAACAACTTTTATGCATATTGGTATTTTTCGTTTTAGTTAATTTGCTTGAAATTGTAGTTAGTTATATAGTTTTTTTTAAGTATTGGGTTGGGTTTTAACTGAAAAGTATAACCCATCCGACCCAACCCATAAGCAAACAGTAGGTATCTTCTTTTTTTTTTCCCCGGGTTTGGATTTAGTATTTTCAAAACCTAAATGTATGGGTCAGGTGATTCAAATGACTAAGCCCAAACCACTCAACTCATATACCCCTACTTTTCTCACCTCAACTTCCCATGACTAAGGTTTTCAATTATGGAATAAAACCGACAGGTTTACATTGTATAAAAACGGGTTGGTTGCGAACCATTGGAAAAAAATCCCAAGGTACACATGTTTTTAAAAAAAATTCTCAAAATACACACGTTATGAAAATAATTCCCAATCTACGCATGTTTGGGCCATCACCGCTGTCGACGAAGACAGTGCATCACCGCTGTCGACGAAGACAGTGATTGCATCACTGCTGTCGACAAAGACAGTGATTGCATCACTGCAGTACACGGCCTCGGTGAAGGCCTAACCTGCGTCGAAACTTTAAACAAACATAACTTTGTGCTCGGTTATCCGATCGTAGCGAAATTTTTTTTGATTCCGCATAATTTTTCAAGATCTTGCAAGCCGCAAATTGCCGTAGGCGGTTTGGTCCCGCCTTCGTCTCGAAAATATGTCGTTTGCTACCCCGAACGAGCTTTTTTTCGATTTCGTCAAACTTTGAACGACCATAACTTTGTGCTCCACAATCCGAAAATCATGGGTTTAGGGGTTTATTTCAATGTTCTCAACTCGGTTTACGCCGATTTAGCGAGTAGTATGGTCGATCGGGTATAATCGATTATATGGCGTTTTGTGTTTTTTTTTTTTTTACAAATGGTTAAATTTCATTCCTCAACTATTGTAGCACAAGCTTGGTCTATTACAATAAAGGAGAGATCAAATCAAGAATATGAATCCACTCTAAAGGGAGGGAGCCACTTCGAGTTTCCTTAGCAACCCAATCGGCATATTTGTTGTTTCTGCTATGAGTAAAGGCCACACGAATATAGTCATTTTGCACAAGAATCTACTTCATAGAGTGGATCCAAGCTTTCACTTACCAAGGCCAGGACCTGCTCCGACCTAGTAGAATATTGATGATGACCACGTAGTCGGAGAAGATGACAGATGGCAAACCCGAATCCTCAGATGGCGTTTTGTGTTGTTTTACTAAAATATATGAGAAAATACAATTAACACTAAATAAATTGTATATTTTTAATTTTTTAAAATCTATTTTAAAACAATCCATATATAACTTCCATCCATATTTAAATATTGCATTACAAACAAAATGACAAATCATCATTAATTAAATGTAACATTTAACGTCAGTATCCAAACGTTTATACTTGAATTCAATAGATACCATCAACATATAAATGTTCATACTTGAATCAGACAAATTTCTTTCTTTTTTAAATTGTGATTGATTGTGAGGTGTTAATCGGTATTTGTAATTACGTGATTGAGATAAGAATATACCATAAAATATTTAAAAAATTATAGTTAATTAAATAAGCCCACAAAGTATCGTCATTACTCACTCTTCAACAACTCAAAAGCCCTTATCCAATCTAAGCTTAGCTTCCAAGTTTTCTAGGTTACTCTCGACTCTCACTCAATCTCTTGTTAGTTTCAGAACACCGAAAAGTGGGCAGTCTTATTAGTCATTTCTCATCCTCAAATCCATCCAAATAAAGATTACCGGGGAAATTTGTTTGAGATATCACCATCTCGTCTCTTCTCCTTGCCCCTGCTTAGTTTTAGACGAACTAGAGATCATTTGTTTAGTCTCGTTGTCCCAAATGAGAACCTCTTATGAACCCTTCAATAGAGACTTTGATTGACTCTATTCAAAGTGAACTTTGATTAGTGTTTGTAAGACTTTTCTATAGGGTTCAGTAGAGAATTTGATTGACTCTATTCAAAGTGAATTTTGATTAGTGTTTGTTAGACTTTTCTCTAGGTTTCAATAGAGACTTTGATTGACTCTATTCATAGTGAACTTTGATTAGTGTTTGTTAGACTTTTCTCTCATGGTGAACGAAAAATAACTGTAACCAGCCCACTCGTCCAATCCTACCCAACTCATCCCAATTTATCACTAAAATTAAGATTTAAGATTGGTTGAGGGTTCTCTCTTGTGAAACCTGCCTCTCTTGGGTTGGGTGTGGGTTCTCGGTTATGCAACCCGTAGATACCGGACCCAACCCGTGTTACAACTATTATCTTATGTGTTCGTATCCAAAAACATATTTATGTCGTATACAAACATATTTGTGATGGGATTTGGATACTTTGCCATATTAGTTGTATTTAATATAGGATATGATTCACATTTTTTCATACAGTTTTAGAAGAATAACATCTTATGGATGCGCTAGTTTAAAATGAAAACATTTTTACTTTATTTTGGTAAATATTTATGGAAAATACGAGACATATGTTGAAGCAAATTGCACTTCATCAAGATCCAAACAACAACTTTTATGCATATTGGTATTTTTCGTTTTAGTTAATTTGCTTGAAATTGTAGTTAGTTATATAGTTTTTTTTAAGTATTGGGTTGGGTTTTAACTGAAAAGTATAACCCATCCGACCCAACCCATAAGCAAACAGTAGGTATCTTCTTTTTTTTTTCCCCGGGTTTGGATTTAGTATTTTCAAAACCTAAATGTATGGGTCAGGTGATTCAAATGACTAAGCCCAAACCACTCAACTCATATACCCCTACTTTTCTCACCTCAACTTCCCATGACTAAGGTTTTCAATTATGGAATAAAACCGACAGGTTTACATTGTATAAAAACGGGTTGGTTGCGAACCATTGGAAAAAAATCCCAAGGTACACATGTTTTTAAAAAAAATTCTCAAAATACACACGTTATGAAAATAATTCCCAATCTACGCATGTTTGGGCCATCACCGCTGTCGACGAAGACAGTGCATCACCGCTGTCGACGAAGACAGTGATTGCATCACTGCTGTCGACAAAGACAGTGATTGCATCACTGCAGTACACGGCCTCGGTGAAGGCCTAACCTGCGTCGAAACTTTAAACAAACATAACTTTGTGCTCGGTTATCCGATCGTAGCGAAATTTTTTTTGATTCCGCATAATTTTTCGAGATCTTGCAAGCCTCAAATTGCCGTAGGAGGTTTGGTCCCGCCTTCGTCTCGAAAATATGTCGTTTGCTACCCCGAACGAGCCTTTTTTCGATTTCGTCAAACTTTGAACGACCATAACTTTGTGCTCCACAATCCGAAAA